CATTTCAGGTGACTACCTCTTGAAGCTCATGGAGAGAATGCCAAGAGTGTGCAAAGCAGTAATCAGAGCAAAGGGTGGCTATTTTGAAGAAACTAGAATATAAAACATGTTTTCAGTTATTTCACCTTTTTTTGTTAAGTACATAACTCCACATGTGTTCATTCATAGTTTTGATGCCTTCAGTGAGAATCTACAATGTAAATAGTCATGAAAATAAAGAAAATGCATAGAATGAGAAGGTGTGTCCAAACTTTTGGCCTGTACTGTATGTAACATTACAGATCTCTGACAGTGAGGGGCGGTATTTTGAAAAAAATGTCAGAAATATGTTCTGTGTGGTCTATTTAGTCTGTTTTATGCCCCCCTTAATTTTCCTTTAAGGAGAAATTGGTCCGGGTTCTTATGGGTTAGGGATCTCCTCCCAGACCTGGATCAGGGCATCAGTGAGCTCCTGGACAGTCTGTGGTGGTACTTGGCCACATCAGATGCACCAATACATAACATCCCATAGGTGCTGAACTGGATTCAGGTCAGGGGAACTAGAGGGCCAGTCAATGGCATCAATGCCTTTGTCATCCAGGAACTGTCTACACACTCTGGCCACATGAGGCCAGGCATTGTCCTGCACCAGGATGAACCCAGAGCCCAGTGCACCAGCGTACGCTCTGACAATTGCTCTGAGGATTTCATCCTGGTACCTACCAGCAGTCAGGGTAACACTGGATATGACATGGAGGTCTGTGTGTTTCTCCAAGTGTATGCCTCCCCAGACCATCACTGACTCACCACCAAACTGGTCATGCTGGATGATGTTACAGACAGCATTACATTTACCACTGTGTCTCCAGACTCTTTCACGCCTGTCACATGTGCTCAATGCTCATGCCACCCACATGGAGTCTGTTTCTGACAGTTTGGTCAGAAACATGCACACCAGTAGTCTGCTGGAGGTCATTTTGTAGGGCTCTGGCAGTGCTTCTCTTGTTTCTCCTCACACAAAGGAGCAGATACTGGTCCTGCTGCTGGGCTGATGCCCTTCTATGCACATGTCCAGCTCTCCTCGTGTAATGGCCGGTCTCCTGGTATCTCCTCCATGCTCTTGAGACTGTGCTGGCAAACATGGCAAACGTTCTTGCAACTACACGTATTGATGTGCCATCCTGGAGGAGCTGGACTACCTTTGCAACCTGATTGGGCTGCAGGTACGGTCTCATGCTACCAGTAGTGACAAGGAGCCTAGCAGAACACAAAACTAGAGCAGAATCAGTCAGGAAGGATAAGGAGAGAGCAACTGTCTGTGGCCACCACATGTAAAACCATTCCCTTTTTGGAGGTTGTCTTGCTTTTGCCTCTCCATTGCACCTGTTGTCACTTTCACTTGCACCAAAGCAGGTGAAACTGATTCACAATCACTTGTGCTTCCTAAATGGACAGATTGATATCCATGAAGGTTAACTGATTTGGTTTTATAATGTGATGATCAAGTGTTCCCTTCATTTTTTTGAGCAGTGCACACCTAAAAAACTTAGCAGCGATGTCTCTTTCCAGAAATCATGCAGAGTAGATGCACACTTCCATTTGTGCTCTGATATGATTGGCAGGTGTAGTTTAGTCAAAAGAAAACAGTTCCTGCATGAAACTTCTCACAACAAGATCTATGGATTATCTTGAGTAAACAGGTGAGGATTTTGGGAAAGAGACATTGCTGTTGAGTTTTTCAAATGGTATTTTTTGGCACTTTGAGCACCACAAGCCGAGGGCCATCTAGTTCCATTATACTGGAGAGAAGGCAGACATATCTATGACCAATATCTCCAACACTCAGCAACTCCCACCAAAACAACCTGGACTGATAAACAGCACTACAGTTGAGAGGAAAAATATGTATTTTTGATTTAGGAGTTAACTGTCCCTTTAACATTATATGAGGCTGTGATGTTGAGGGACAAAAAAAAGTGAGTGAAAAAAAACACAGTCAATGTCTTTGTTAAGTCCAGGTGATAATCATTGTTATCAAGTTTGTAGTGCTAAAGACACATGAGAAATACCTTACAGCTCCACTCTTGAAAATTCACAATCTTTTTCTTTTCTCTTCATGCAGGACAGCATGAAAAGTCTTCTGTCGTACATTGTAGCGTACTACCTCAGACACTTCGATGAGGTAAGGTTTTTATACTTCCTCCCATACTGTAACTCTTTTTCTTCTTCAGACTCTTATTTTTGTCCATTGTTTATTTTGTCCCAAATTGTATACTCTCATATCAGTCTTCCTCTCATATTCAGAGCTACAAGGTACAACAAAGCAAACCAGAGATAGCAAAACACAGTCTGTGTTATGTACACATGATATTCTGTATACAACATTTTCACACCACATTTCCACATCCCTTTGGTGTTGCATCACACCACAGTCAAGCTTTCAATGTTCAGATGTTTATCAATCAATCAATCAATCAATCAATCAATCAATCAATTTTATTTATAAAGCCCAATATCACAAATCACAATTTGCCTCACAGGGCTTTACAGCATAGAACATCCCTCTGTCCTTTGGACCCTCACAGCGGATAAGGAAAAACTCCCCAAAAAAACCCTTTAACGGGGAAAAAAAAACGGTAGAAACCTCAGGAAGAGCAACTGAGGAGGGATCCCTCTTCCAGGACGGACAGACGTGCAATAGATATTTATGACTTAATGTCATAATGTTCATGTGTTTGTGTGTGTGTCTGTCTCTCCGTCTGTCTGTCTGTCTGTCCTTCATAAGGATGCTGGCAGAGAGACGTGTGTGTACCCTCTCCCTGAGCCTCACGACCTGTTCCAGTCTTCACAGATGAAGTTTGAAGACTTTCAGAAAGACTTGGTTCGACTCAGGAAGGACCTGCGAGGTAACACACACACACACACGCACACACATACACACACACACACTGTTGTCCATAAAGCTTGTTTGCGTTCACCAAACACGCGCAAGGCACCTAACCACCCTTGTTGCCTATATAATAACCATGCTGGAATTTCTGTTTACATGTAATTTACACCATATGTGCTCTTGTTTTGGCTGTAATTTCTGTCTGTTTTATTTTTTATCAGCGTGTACATCAGAAGTGGAAAAGGTGTGCAAGGTCTCAGACGAAGACAACCTGCAGCCTTTTAAAGACAAGATGGAGGAGTTCCTGGTACAAGGTGAGTGACAAACACTCCATTATCCTGAGGAACTACTTTCATATTGAACTAATCTGCCCTTAGCATGTGAAAAAAAGTGAGGATAATCATGACCTAACAATGATCTTGTTTTAGTTGCATCAACTTAAAGTGCCCTGTGTTGTTTCTGTGTATATTCACTTTTCCTCTCCAAAGTGCATTATGTACCTTTTCATGATTTATTTCTTGCTTGCTACTTCTTCTTTTGTCCTCCTTTCCTAGCTAAAAGTGAACTGGAGACCCTGGAAACTCAACTCAGCAGCACTCACAAACTGTAAGAGACACACATTACATTCCATACCATATAAACTCCCATTCTCTTTCTCAATCACTGAGAGCACTGTGTTTGTACCATGAATCCAGAGGAGGTCTGTGTACATATCACTGTGGTCAATTCGCATCATAAATCAGTGGACCCATATTCCTTATGTTTAGCAGTTACAACATTACACCACAGATGATGACTAAAGCCCTAAATAAATTGGGGAGTTTTTCCTTCAGTTGAGATGTTCCTACTAAACATAGTTGTAGGTGTTTCAGTTTAACGTCCGTGTAAACTAGTGACTTTCAGCGGAATGCGTCAGTGATTTCTCATAGTAACTTCTGTAAATGGTTGGTGCAAATAATAAACAGATGAGTGTGTATTTAAAAATGATGAAAGTAAAATTAAACTTTTTTACAACACATTATCACGCCGACCTCGTCACATGTCGATGTTTGGTCATGGAATTTCCACATCAAGATTTGACATGCAAGGTACCCTGGGAACATTGGTTGTTGACGTTCTGGGATGCCGTGTCAACCGGCTTTTGCTGTACACACATTGTAACAGGCTAGCAAGTGCCCAGGTGTGCATCACTGAAGAGGCTCCACCTTCAATTCAGGCAAATCGTGCACAAGGAATTGTGGGTATTTAATGCCTGCTATGGATAGACACATGCATCCTTGAAAATTATCTGAGGGATGAACTCAGTCCTTGGTGGAATTTGAAGGATCTTTGACATTGGAACAGTCCTTCGGTGAGATTACATAATGTAGCCTCCTTGAAATTAAAGATCCTTCCTTGACTTTGAGAAGTACCAAGTGTGGGAATCTGAGTGAATAGTTAATGTTTGTTTTTTGTTTTTTTCTATTAAAGAGGCCTAAATGTGATTGTATCTTTGTATTTTGACCTGAAAAGAATTGTGCCTAACCAGTAACTTTGTTGAAAAACATCTTAGGCCATGGCTACAGAGAAAACTCAGCTCTAATTGGTCAAAGGGTGTGCATAGGCGTTATCATCGCTCGTCAAAATGAATCCTCACTGTTACAAGGCTTCTGCTTTCAGCTGTTACTAGGCAACAGCTTCCCCTACTTGTTAGGGTAGTAAGTCAGTAACATTTATTCCAAAGGCCACAAAGACAGTGACAATGCAAAATTAGAATTAAAAGAGTGCATTACCTCAGAAATATAAATAAGCTTTACCTTAATTGGTGGTACTGCAACAGAAAAACTCCCTCTGTGTTATGAAAAATAGTACAAGGTCATTGGAACATTTTTACATTGTGGTACTTCTTCCATCTCTGCCAATAATGCAGAAAAAAACACAACAGAGAGGCTAATGATGTGAATCCATTGCATGTAAAGGTTCTGCATTAAAATTCTACTTCAGTACACACTACACTAAAGTAAAAATACATAAGTATTACCAGCAAAATTTACTTAAAGCATAAAAAGAGTACTTGTTAACACTGATGCATCATTCATAAGAACTATTTTACTGCTGAAGCAGGTCAAGGTACTGTAGAGCTACTTTGAATTATGTTTCATACTGTAGTTCAGTGCAGCAGTTTCCAATGGGGTCGGGCCCCTCCAAGGGGTCACAAGATAAATCTGAGCATTCATGAGTTGATTCATGGGAGAGGAGAGAGAAAAAAAAGCTCTAATACTTGTCAGATTTTGGACTTTTCTCCAGTCTTTGCTTTTTTGTGAAATATTCCACTTTTTAACCTCTCCAGGCCTTTAATTTAAGAATTACTGAAGATAAATATGTTTAGAGGGGAAATGTCTCTTTGGTGGACTCGTTACCAACTAATTTATTATTAGGGGTCACAAGTCCTAAAAGTTGATATCTAGGGGTAGGGTGTCCTGATAAATTTGAACCTTTATCTCTGCATTTTAAACATATATTTGTTTGTGTAAAATCTTAATTTCAAAAGTACCCAGTGGCTCCAGCCAAAAAGTGTAATAAAAAGTATAATTTTGCATCAAATGAAAATACAGATACCTCAGAATTGTACTTAGGTGAAGTACTATTGTTGGTAGATATCCACTCTCTTTTGTTAGCATATTTTTGAACCATATCTTTGGTGGTGGTTGCTGCTTGCTTGCCCCCCATCAGTTCCACCCCTTTACTAGGACCCCCTTGAAAACAAGATTTTTTCCCCCATTAAAGGTTTTTATGGGGGGAGTTTTTCCTAATCTGCTGCGAGGGTCCAAAGGACAGAGGGATGTCGTATGCTGTAAAGCCCTGCGAGGCAAATTGTGATTTGTGATATTGGGCTTTATAAATAAAATTGATTGATTAAAAATTGATTGAAGATGATACTTCTCAGGGGGTTAATCTTAATAATTTCCAAATAGAGCAGAATTTTTAGGCTCCAGTAAGTAACAAATATGTAGTGTAAATTCAGCCCCAAAATGTGCTCTGAAGGTGAAGTTGGAACATGACAGAAATGACACTAGTGTTTTTCATGCCTGTAGGTCCTCTGGTTGTCACAGTTACTCAAAGTGTGCAGTTGCTGGAGCGTCTGCACAGTTTTGTTTTTTTTTTTTTGGTTTGTTTTTTTAATCTCTAGTGTCATATTTTCTCTCAACTCATCGATAAAAAGGTCAAGTCAGCTTGTGATTGTGTCCTGTCAGGTTCCTGGAGCTCACAGTGTTATTCTCAGTGAAGGCCAAGGCAGGTGAGAAAGAGACTTCACCCCACACTTTCTTCAGCATCTGGCATGAGTTCTCCTCTGACTTCAAGGACCAGTGGAAGAAGGAGAACAAAGTCATTCTCAAGGACAGGTACATTAACACATGCTGCTCTAAAACCTGCTCTTTTCCATCTTTCTTTCTTTAAAACCAAGATATAAATCAAATATGTTGTATATCTTAGACATATTAAGCTTTCTACTTTAGAAAAGCTAAACTTAACTTGCTTTTAATGCAAAATTAAGATGAGCCAAATGGATTCACACCATGACATTAATCTTGACTGCAAATGTAGTCATAGAGGTGAAGAAATACTTCACCCCACAAAGTACCATTTGTATATTAACTTCTTACCCAGTGTTACATTTAATTAAAAAAAAACTTTTCTCACTTGTCTCAACGGTGAATGAAGAATCCAAACAGTGGGAAAATTCTTGATGAATTGAAGTCATAGGGGTCAACATTTATTAACAGCAAAACTATATCAAAACATACGTCTTAAACTCTCAAGCAACTCATGCAGCATAATCCAATTCTCATATATCCAGTAATATGCTCAGTACTTTCCAAACAGACAGCCCTTTCTGACGAGGAACTGAACTAAAAGTGAAACTTATCTATGTTCTCTTCAAAGCCAGACTCCATTGACAAAAACAGTAATCTTACCTCACTGAGCACATGAGCTGCTGGTCTACCGTCACCTCAATCAATTACTTTAAAACCCCAAAGTCACACAATAACACAAACAAACTAACTGATCAAGCTAACGGTAGACCAGCAGCACCCGGGTTCAGCAGGGTTCATTACCATTTTGGCAATGGAGTTTGGCTTTAAAGACAGCAGAGTTCAAACTTCACTTTCCCATCAGTTTCCCTTTGGAAAGGGCTGTCTGTTTGGGAAGTACTGAACATACAGCAGATGCATACAACATAAAAAAGACTTAATATACTTATTATACTGTACCACTTGTTTGAGACTTTGTAGACAGATGTTGGGATAAAGTTTTGTTGTGATTCAACGTGGTCACCCATGACTTTTATTCATCAAGAGTGAACTCTGTTTTTGGATTCTTCATTTACTGGAAGCATGTGAGAAAAAACGATGTTCTTCGTGAAGTCAACATAACACAGGGAGTAATTGATATACACATGGTCATTTAGAGGGTGAGGTATTGGTGAATTACCATTAATTGCATTAATATTTTGTGTTCTGCAGGTTAAAAGCGGCAGAAGAGTGTTTCCGGCAGGCCAAGGAGAAGGCTTCCTACAGCGTCAAACCCAAACATGCCTCTGGCATCGTAAGTTCACTTTTCACCCATACTTTTTTGATCACTCTATTAAGACTAAAGGAGAAAGCTCAAAAAATATATTTATTGTCTCACAACATACAAAGTACAATTGACAGTAAGGCTTTATGAAATATTTGTTGCACTTAATCAGAAGCAGTATAAATGTAATTAATGGTTTATCACACTCTATAACATCTGAATAAATCAATTTGGAAATTTTGAATCAAATCAACTAGTGTGTGACAGAAAGGGGAGATGGTAAAGGTCACATGATTAACTCAACTATCATATGCATTGTCTCTTGAACAATACACCCCTTGCCCCTACCACTTAGCCCTCACCCCTCCATTTTGCACTTTGACATCTAGGGGTAGGGAGTCCTGATCCTTGCTTGGGATACAAGATGGCTGCACAAGCAACAAAAGACACCCACAAATATATTTTTATTGTTAATCAAGATTTAAAAATTACAATACCACTGTCTTATCTTAATTTAATGTCCTTTCAATGTATTTCGGTATATTTCTTTATGACAAAAAAATCGCTTATAGTATGCTGATGTCTTGGTAGGTAACAAGCAAGCCATCTAGCTAACATTGTGTTGATATTGCTGATTTATGTATGATAGTCCCTCATCCCTCAGGGTAGGACGAGTTGCTAGCCTACCAAGCAGCACTAGTGGCCTGGTAAAGAAGCACAGTTCTATTTTATTTCGTGACTTGTTTGATCGATTGATAGCGTGAAACTAAAGTTGTGAACAAAATCCGAGCATCCAGACTTTTCTATCTCCATTAGATAAATGGCAGAGGTTGTGATAGTATGTTACCATTATTGCGATAGTCGCATCTGTTTATGTAAATGTCATCGACAACTACTGACAGCGTACCAGGGTCTTGAAGGGTTGTCCTATTCCATAGGTAAAGATCTTAACTATTACCCCTTGTTGCTCTCTTCTGATGGTCAAAGGGGCACTCGGAAACAAGGCGTAGGGGTTAAAACAAGAAATGGCATGTTAGGGAAAGATGGCTGTCAGTGCTGGCCACTATCATGAGACATCATGTGAAATTTCTGCCAGTATTGAAGGTAGCAAACCCATAACTTTCAGTGTTAATCTAAGTGTTTGAAAATTGAAATGTGTTCTGCTATCTCTCTGTCAGGAACAAAACAACTAATCAAACTGCTGTTTATCTAAATGTTAACCCTTCTTACTTAAGGTTGAAGACAAAACTCCATTTTAAATCCCCTACTCTTGTTTCTGTAGTTTTGCACTGCTTATTGACAGATGATAGAGACTTAAGATAATGCACTTAACATCTATGATCCTATCTCTTTTCTACAGAAAGCCAAGCTTGGCATGAAGATTTGAATTAGTGGACATGGAATGCTTGTTTTCCTGACTTTGGGCACCAGCAGTGATTCAAAAGACAAACAAAAATATGAAGTGGACAGAAGAGGAAAATGAATTGATGTATGTGCAGCTGAGCCTACTCTGGACGTCTTGTTTCGTTGAATTATTTCTTCCACTTGAATACATTTTGCGTGCTCTGTCAGCTTGAGGCCTTATGTTGCTCTCCTGTCTGATAACTGAATTCAACACAAACATGGATGAGTGCTGCTGAAGGGCCACCAGGCAGCAGGAATCATGGGCTGCTGGGATCACCACAGCTCAGAAACAACATTCGCTGGAATAATAACATTCTGTCTGTGCGGCCTGTATGCCTACATGTATAAAAAACAGATGTCTTACTGATTAAGATTTTTCAACACAATAGAAAAGGAAAACACAGTTCAACACAACCCATGTCATAAATCACATCAGTAGCTTAAATAATTAAGGAATGTAACTTCAAACTGTTAAGCAATCAGATCCACCAGATGTGAAAGCTTGTTTGCAGTGAGATTTTGTGAACGTAGCTTGGAAATAATGGAGAAAGCAGCACAGGAGAATTTAAGGCTGCAAGGCAAACCTCAACTACTACAGGAACAGCGCTTATGGGTCAAAGCCCCGGAATGGAAACTGTGGAGCCAGTTTGGGTCCGATTGGGGGTATACATGCAGGAGTAATTCAACTCCCCATCACATTATCTAGGTATGTTAGTCAGACTTTGAGAAATTTAATTTAGTACGATTTCAGTCCGACTAACATGTTTACATGTACTTTTGAAAGTCCAGTTTTAGTCAAACTAACACAATAAATCGATTTTCTCTAATGTCATGAAAACATACTGACTGAAGGAGCCAGGCACTAATATGCACTCGGATGTGACTTGTGTGTTAAAACAGCGCACTTTTGATTTACTTTTCTATTCAACATACATTTAACATGTTTGTTACACATACTACATCAGCATGCAACATGATTAATGAAGCTGAACTTAAAGATGCACTATGCAGGATTTTGTTAAAAAAAAACATTGTATAGACTAATACAAAGGTATTCCCTCTCATTCATCACTTATGACCTACTAGAAGTGTGTGGTGGTGTATTTATCCAGTCCATTCTCATTCCCAGGTCGTCATATACTGACACTTCATCACACCTCCCCAGCCTACGATACAGAGGGCAAAGGCACCTTCAGCTAACTCCAATGACGAAAAGTCAACATTTTTTTAACATACTGTTACGCAAGTTATGTAGATCCCATGTGAAAGCAAAGGTCAACCTTGTTTTGATGTGGCATTACATAACTTTAACACAGTCTCAAAGAAATACACTGCTCAAAAGAATTAAGGGAACACTGAAATGACACATCAGATCTTGATGAATGAATTGTTCAAGTTGAAAATCTTTACTGATGTTCATTGTAGAATTTGTTGAGAACAAATTGGCATAATAGGACTCAGTAGAAAACAAAATCATCAATGCACTGAGGGCTGGATTCCAAATCACACTGAAAATCAAAGTAAAAAATTTAAATCGAGGCTGAGCCAACTTGTGTTAATTTTATCACAACAACTCATAATGTGACTCAGTAGTATGTAGGGTCCTGGCATGCCTGTATAGACTCCCAACAATGTCTGGGCATGCTCCTGATGAGTCTGTAGATGGCGTTTTGGGGGATCTCCTCCCAGACCTGGATCAGGGCATCAGTGAGCTCCTGGACAGTCTGTGGCTGTAAAGGGACGTGACATACTTATGTGACTCACATGACTCACATGACGTAGGCTATGTATGTTATGTTACATACTTATTTTAACTTGAAACATTGTGTTTTTTCGAAGTCTAACCAAGTAGTTTTGTTGCCTAAACCTAACAGCAACCATTTGACAGCATTAACCACTTGTTAAAACGTATTTAATCTCGGTGACAGTTGTGTGTCTCATACAGACACTTGAAGCTATAGTTGGTAATGTTGGAGAGCTAGCAAGATTTGAAAGCAGCACCTCCTCTAAGCTCCGACCCCTGCTCCCCGTCCCATCAGTGCTCCGTCCACAGCCACGAGCCCAGACATGCCTGGACACGCATCCTGCAGTCAGCAGAGCAGCGGAGAGCCGAGTAAAATAACAAATCCCCCCAAAGCAAACAAATAATTACCTGTCCAACAGAAAGACAGCAACCTCTGCATCACTTTTCAGGCCCTTCAGCTCCCTCAGTTGTCTCCACCGTTCAAAAGCTGGACTGCTGTTGATGTCTGGTTTGTCCTCTCACTTTATCCAAAGTCTTTTCTGCCTCTGACTTTCTCTTCTCAGCCTGTTGAGTGGGGTGAGCCGTTACAAGTAACACTGGAAGTGGTACTTTTGGCTGCATTTTCTCTGCCATTGTGCAGCAAACTCCTGCTTACTCAGTATTTCTGTTGAGGAGTGTGCTGAATATTTCTGGCAACGGTGACACATGATGAGTGCGCGCAGGGAGGAGGGAGGGAGGGACAGAGGGGGGCTCAGGCAATACGAGACATGAAGGCATCTGATTGGTTCTTTCCATTCGCACCGAATGGCAGGATTGGTCAGAGTTTTTACAGGCCTGCAGCTGCCACAGAGGTCGGATTTTTTTCATTCCTTTTTCTGAACACATTATGTATTGACTACTCTCAAGATGGAAGGACCATTTTACCCAGTATGACAAAAAGTGTTTCTGAACAGGATTACCAACTATAACTTTAAGGATGCACAGTGTGTCTGTTTGAGATGCAGAGTGTTGGTGTTTGACGACCTGAAAATGAGAATGGGTTACTTAATCTGTAAAGACTTATTTTGCTCTGTTTTGGATGTTCTTGGGCACAGCATACAGGTGTGTGTGTGTGAGGGGGGGGGGGGGACTTCATGAAAGGGTAGCAACCAGGTACCAGACCCCGAGCATCATTGAAGAAGCTAAAAGGAAGCTTCAAAAATCACAGACAGAGCACACAAAAAACACAGATATAGCCAAAGAGCGTATTTCTTGGGTTGGCTTTCACTTTAGTTGGCGATACTGTTTACAAACAGTAACTGAAAATTTCTGCATAGTGTGCCTTTAATGGTTCATTCTTGACCATGGAAACATCATTTAACAAAACAATTTCAACTCAGTTAAATGTGGTAGAAAGCTGAGCAACTGGCTGAAGAAAAAATAACATGCTTTTGGTGCAGGTGGCAATGCAGAGAGGCCATTTACAAAGCATTTTATATTTTGGTTCATAATTCCTCAACCCTGAGGCGTACAATACAAGCAAAATCATTTTTCTTGATGTGTCTCTTTAAGATTACACCTGTTTTCCACCATTTTGCATTTTAAAAAACAAAAAAGGGTTTTCCCCCATTCTTACTATTTTCATCCAATCTTGAGTCTCCTCTTATATGGAGTAATGTTATTATTGCAACTGATTATTGGCCAACATTATTCATCTTGAATGGTTATAACCCTTCAGGCTGTTCTCATGCACTGTTCATAAGTTTTCCTATGAAAAATAATGCACCAAAATTTGTACATATCCCACATGATAATGAGCCAGTAATTTGTGTGTAACTGATGTATTTGAGAAGGCTGCAATCACAAGACCAGTGCACTGAGTAAAGACAGAAGTGGTCCCTTTAAGGAGGCAGGTGGGGGTGGTGTGTCAGGACTTTCCCAAGGAGACCACTGTTACTGAACTTTCAGTAAACTAAACCTAACCATGCTTTTGTTGATATTCCTGTATTGGCATTCCGGAACTTGGGATGAGAAGTGTTGAAAGTTACATACTATGTAACTTTCAACATGGTTAGGTTTAGGCAAGTAAGGTTACGCAGGTTAGGGGTTAGGAAAATAAAGTGATGTAAAGTTATGTAGGGTTAGGTTTAGGGAGCAAAAGCACATGGCTACCAATGCCAGGACTTCAACAAAAGCACATGGTTAGGTTTAGGCTACAAAAGCATGTGGTTAGGTTTAAAAAAGAACATCATGGTTTGGCTTTACATTCACAAGGGAAGCAAACATCGGGCTCCTGGCTGACAGTCCACATTATGTCCAGTGGCATTATAAACTGATGCCAGCCAGCATCGTATATATGAACTGCAGAAGATGGCTCTTGGTGACAGGTGTCTGACACCAAAATCACTGACCACGTGGTGGTACTCAACAACTTTGGAATGAGAACGGACTGTAACTTTACTTGCCTAAACCTAACCTACGCAATTTTAGTTGCCAAAACCTAACCATGTAACTTTACGTTAAATATGTAACATCATTTGTGGGGTGCTAATTCGTAGGATGTCTTATGAAGTGTATGAGGATACATTGAACCCTTGAATACACTAGACCACAATAATATATGTTTAAATGGCTCAAATGGCTGACTCATGTTAAATTTTCAAATTCATTTTAGCCCAAAGCCTTAATAAATAGCTACTCTCTAAGATTTTGATCACCATCAGATAACAGCAGGATTGTCCGTTACTGTTTTTTAACTGAAACATTTTAAGAAACTTAACATTTCTGCACACATTTGTATTATTAATTATTGTTAATAATTAATTATTTTAGGGGATTTTGCAGCTTTGGTGAAAGTATGAACGTAGAATATTTCTTGTTTTGTTTTATCCTTTGAACTTGACCTGGGCGCGTGAAGCAATCCCAGCAAATACACAGAGCCAGGCCTCAGCAGCAACTAAAGTAAGAGAGGATGAAATAGACTGTGAAAGTGACGCATTAATTAGCAGTGCTTGTGGACACTTGGTGATATCTGGTTATATTGTGCAAATATTACTGACAGCTACAAAAAACTTTGTTGAGAAGTGACGAAAATCTGGATTATCCCAGACGACAGCCATGGAAACGTCCTTTTAAATGCCGCAGTAATCCACCTCACCTCATTATCAGCACCCTCTACATGGACTTTTACACACTACCACAATGCTGTTTTTGATTCTACATCCTGATTGTCCAGTCAGATTTAGCCTCTTAATAGAGAATCAAACTCAGTATGTCTTTGTATAGCAGTGTTAATGTGCAGGAGAAGAATGTCACTGTAAACTTACATGTGTAATTTTAATGTATGTTCAATGATATGCCATATCACACCAGATATACCATAGGAAGTGTGTGTGTGTGTGTGTGTGTGTGTGTGTGTGTGTGTGTGTGTGTGTGTGTTTTCTCATTAACTGGTTGATCACATCTCTGTGGTTGAAAGCTGTGATGGAGGATGTGTATGGTGCATTAAATTACAGCTATTGAATTTTGTTGCAGAGTTAATGACTTTATCAATGTAAGGTAATAAATTGTTAAAAGAAAAAACATAACTGTGAGACACATTTTGTGTTTCTTTCATTGATGTCCTTTTATGCTGGCCAGCATGATACTCTCAACAGGAACATGATGAAGTTTGAACAGTTTCATGTGCAATAAATGTTTGTGTGTACATGTATATGCGGAGAATGCATGGGGTCTGGGAGCGGTGTAATTTATGTAAAATAAAGAGAATGAATTCTGCATTATTTTTGTTTTATGCAATATTTCATTGTGAATAGATCAGGGATTAGGGATGCATGATACTGGATTTTTTTGCCAATATCCAGTATGCCGATATATATCAATTTATTTAACCAATAACCAATACTGATATTGCTTATCCAACACCCCCAATCCACTGCAAGCCACGTCAAAGAGTGCATCAAATTGTTACATTTATGTTTTAAAGGTTCACTGTGTAAGATTTAGGAGGATGTATTAGCAGAACTCGAACATAATATAATATAAGTGTGTTTTTCTGGTGTATGATAATCTAAATATAAGAATCGTTGTGTTTTCACTACCTCAAAATGAGCCGTAAATATCTACGTATGGAGCAGGTCCATGTCTACAGAGATCACTATGTTGTGCAGCCATGTTTCTAGCTACAATGGACAAACCAAGCACTGGCTCTACATAGGGCCATTCAGGTTTTTGCGCCAGTCATCATAATTGTAGCCTCTCAACGATGAGTAGCTTTGGATAAACACAGATGAAACTGTTTTAGTTAGTGTTTTTACCGGTTTAAATTATGTGGTCCATTTGTTTCGGAGAAGAGGAAATATCTGTGGATAATTTGGTTCCTGAACATCTGGATCAGAAATAGGGAGAGCTTACATTCAATTATCAGAAAACAAAGGTGAGCACACATAGCAGGTGCTGGGCGAGCAGGCTGTGAAAGACTTGCCAAACAGAGCAGAACACTGATTTGTAACATGAAACTGCTATATCCAGTGTTTTATCACTTTAATTCACCCTATTTGTTTTGGGAAGGAGGAAGTTACCTCTGCAGATCATCTGACTCTCAGTAAAAACTTTCCTGAACAATGAACACTGAAGGAATTCTAACTGGGAGAAGTTTCAGCTGGTTGCAATCAGCAATCCTCACCAACCCAGAGAGGGTAATCCACCAGTTTCCGGCAGAGAACCATGGCCTCAGCTTTGGAGGTGCTGACTCTCATTCCAACCACTTCACACTCAGCTGCAAACCGCCCCAGTGCATGCTGGAGGTCACAGTGTGATGAAGCCAACAGAACCACATCATCTGTGAAAAGCAGAGATGCAATTCAGAGGTCCCCAAACTGGACCCCTTCCTCATCCCGGCTGCGCCTCAAGATCCTGTTCATGAAAATCGTAAACAGGATTGGTGACTACCTCAGCAACCTCTGCCAGGGACATGGGTGAGAGTTCCCCCAAGTCTTCAGGCTCTGCCTCCTCCACCGTGGATGTAACGGAGGTTCAGGAGGTCCTCAAAGTGCTTCTTCCCCCGCCTGACGATGTTCCCAGTTCGGGTCAGCAGTTGTCCTTCTCTGCTGAGCACAGTGTGAGATAAGACCTGCTTTTCTTTCCTGAAATGTCTAACGGTCTGCCAGAACCTCCTTGAGGCCAATTGAAAGTCCTTCTCCATAGCCTCCCTGAACTCCTCCCACACCCGGGTTTTTTCTTCAGCAACCCTGACAGCTGCAGCCCTTCCGGCCACTCGGTACCTGTGTGCTGCTTCAGGAGACCCCTGGGCCAGCCAGACGCGAAAAGCCTCCTTTTCCAGCCTGACAGCCTCCCTCACTGCTGGTATCTACATGCAGGTACTTAGGTTGCCGCCATGACAGGCACCAACAACCTTCTGACCATAGCTCCTAGCAGCCGCCTCCACAATGGTAG